GTGATGTAATGTATTAATGTATAATGTGACATACTATGATAAAGTTATTTGATGTATGGTGATAATGTAATGCGATAATGTGATTTAATGTGATAATCTGAAGTACCGTGATGATGTGATGTAATGTGATAATGTGATGCACTGTGATAATGTTGCGATAATGTAATGTGATAATGTGATGTGATAATGCAACGGGACGTACTGTGCTAATGTTATGCAATGTGATAATGTTATTTGATGGGATGTGATAATGCGATGTGATGATGAAATGTAATGTGATAAAACGACTGCCATAATAATCACAATGAGCGCTGAAAGTTGTACTTGTAATATGTAAAGAAGCATCAGCTTTCAGATTCACCATAGCATTCCAGCAATAAACGTCATTTGTGTCACAGACTGTGGTCTCCTCTTTTGTGATAAGCGCTCCTCTAAAGATTTAAGAGAAGCTGATCAAGCTCAAACTGAGCTGTGGCTCATGTAAAGTATCCAGTAAACATGTAACTGGATTTGCTCTATGCTGAATTCACCTTCTCTGTTCCATCATCAGGGATCGGGACCTTCTCCTCGAAATATGTGGAGACCGGTTCCTCCTGCGGGACGGGGGACACGGGACTGTACAGGTCAGGCTCCTGTGGGACGCTCTCTGAAACACACACACACACACACACACACACAGCAGATTCACTGACTGAGCTTCAGTTCACAACTCTCACACACACAAACAGTGCAGATACACACATATGCAAATAAACACGCACGTTTGCTCACTCACATACACACAATGATGTTTCTACTGTACAGACAAGGTACACACACACACACACAACTTTGGAGAGGTTTTAGAGTACAAATACACACTCATTAACTCATCTAATTAAGACTGAACATCCTGCAGAGTTAACGATCTCCGTCATTACACTCATTCATGAGGCACACGTCTCCTGCAGTATAATACACTCACATGCTCACGATGCAGAACACACACACACACATATTCAGAGACACACACTGTGTTCTATCATCGGTGTATTTTCGATTAAATAAACGCGGCTCAGTCAGCAGAAGAGATTCCCTCATGCGGTTTACAGCACCTATTTGACAGTGTTATTGTAGATTATTGCAGGACGTGTGAGGAATGAGCAGAGTCAGTGAGTTCATCAGAGATTATAGCGCATCATAAACGTGCTCAGGTCACCGAGAGCACATTAAACATGAGGAAACGACGGCAGTAAACTCTGATTATTTCCTGCAGAGTTACCACACCATCATAACTCTCACTTTCACACATCCATCTGCTGCGGTCAGCTAGAAAAGACCGACAGAACATGATCTGCTGCTCACACACGGCTCATCTTTAACCAGGAAAAACAGACTATAACTAAAATATTATTACATGTTCATTATATTTTACATTATATATACATTACATAATATATTACATTATATTTCTGTCTTTGATGGGTTTTAAATTATGAGCGCTGTGCATTTTATACAACAAATAGGAGACATAAATACAGAATTAGAGACTTGTGTGTACAGTGCTATTACTTCTGCTATTAATTGTACAAATTTGTAAATAATATTTAACAGAATAACAGTGTTAATAACTCATCTCTAATAACTGATTTATTTTCTCTTCTCCATGATGACAGTAAATAATATTAGACTAGATCTTCTTCAAGACACTAGTGTTCAGCTTACAGTGACATGTAAAGGCTTCACTAGGGTAATTAGGGTAAAGTTAGGGTAATTAGGCAAGTCATTGTATAACAGTGGTTTGTTCTGGAGACAATCAACTAAAATTATTATCTTAAGGGGGCTAATATTAATGACCACAGCAGTTTTTAGATAGATGGTAGATAGACAGACAGATAGACGGACAGACAGATCAATACTCATCACAGATGTGATCAGGGTGTGTGTGTGTCAGCAGGATGTGATGCGTGTCTCACCGTCCAGCGCGTCCCCGTCCCGTCCAGTCTTCATGAGCTCCAGGAGTGTGCCCGTCAGTCTGAAGAGCAGAAAACACACAGTGTGAGCACAGAACACTGACCACCCACACACACACACACACACACACACACACGCACGCACGCACGCACGCACGCACGCACAGACGCACACACACACACACACACACACGTACACACACATGCATAAGTATACACACATGCATATGTGCGTGCACACACGCACACGTGCACAGCACACACACGCATAAGTACACACATGCATACGTGCACACAAAAACAAGCGCGCACACACACATGCATAACTACACACACGCACACACACATACATGCATGCACACACACGCACATACATGCACACGCATAAGTATGCACACAGATACACAACTATCAAATATATATTAAACATATTATAAATGTAAAAATAATGAGCCCTGTTTTTTATATTCTGCAGGTTATGGATAAAATATGACAGGGCTATGAGTTTAATAAAATATATGAGATTTTTGGAAATCACCAAGCATCCCCACTTATTGTCTCACAACCCCCCACTTTGAGAACCACTGCTCTACTCTACAGTGATGCTCCAATACTGCATAACTGCAACACACACACACACACACTGTTATGATGAACTGCTCAAACTAATGACATATAAACCAAAGAAAACACACACACACACACACACACACACACACACACACATCTCTGACATCCCATAAGCTGAAAAACACACAGCAGCAGGCTTTCCCAGCCAGAGGCTTTCATTACAGCATTAGCTGAAGATCAGGACACACATTCAGACCACACACACACACACACACACACACACACACACACACACACACACACACACACACACACACACACACACACAGAAGACCTACAGTACATTTAGCATCAATGTGTGTGTGTGTGAGAGAGAGAGAAAGTGAGTGTGTGCATGTCTGTGTGTGTGTGTGTGTGTGTGTGTGTGTGTGTGTGTGTGTGTGTGTACTCACAGCCGAGCCCGTGAGAAGTGCAGTGGTCCGCCGTGTGCTGAATGTTGCTCTGCTCATCCGCAGTGAGGAACTCTGGGAAACACTGGAGACGCTGCTGCTGATATCTAGAGGAGCAGAGAGACACACACCACTGATAAGAGCAACGGCACCACACACACCCACTAACACACTCTCACACGACACACTCACAGACTCTCTCACACAGACGCACACACACGCAGTCTCACACTCAAAGTCTGTCAGTCAGTCACACACGCACACACGCACACACACACACACACACACACACACACACACACACACTCACACACTCACACACTCACACACTCACACACTCACTCAGAGTTGCACAAACAAAGAGAGTTATGCGCACGCACACACACACACACACACACACACACACACACACACACACACACACACACAGAGAGTAGAGCAGGTTGTACAGGAGCAGCAGGTGTGTTATTTCTCAATCCTCATGTGAATGAATAATGAACAGCAGTGCTCCTGTGGAGACGATCGGCTCATGCATGATCATATGAGTGTTATTAAGGCTGTACGGATGCTCATCATCACTATGACATCATTCAGCTGCAGCGGGCTGAAGGGGCAGTTCACCCACACATCAACACACGCTCTCCCTGCACTGTGCTTATAAACCTTCATCAGTGTCTCTCTTCCGCTGAACATATTCTGAAGAATGCTGAAGAACGGTAACCACTCACTTCCAATAGTAAGAAATACAATGGAAGTCAATGGTTACCGGTTTCCAGCATTCTTCAAAACATCTTCTTTTGTGTTTAATAGAATAAAGAAACTGGTGAAGGTTTGGAACAAGTATAGAGTGAGCGGATGATGACAGAAAGAACCACCAACTATTCCAGCATTTGTTTTACACAGCGCATGCCCTTCCAGATGCAACCCAATACTGGGTAACACCCATACACTCTTATTTACATACACACACTCATTCACTACGGCCAGTGTAGTTGATCAGTTCCCCTATAGCGCATGTGTTTGGACTGTGGGGGAAACCGGAGCACCCGGAGGAAACCCACGCCAACACGGGGAGAACATGCAAACTCCACACAGAAACACCAACTGACCCAGCTAAGACTTGAGTCAGTGACCTCATTGCTGTGAGGCCACAGTGCTGACCACTGAGCCATCCCATGATGATGACTATACTGTGTTATTTTACATTTTACTGTTAAATTTGTGCGTCTGATTATCGCTGCACTTCCAGAAAATCCTGAAGCGCTGTGTGTTTTATTTGTGATTGCTCTACTCTGTCAGTGTTTGTGATTGCTTTATTATAATTCATGTAAATCATGCCAAACTTACGCATCTAAAATCCAAACTAAAGCTGTTCATTTCATCTGCTCAAACTCAGCATCACAACAAATATCCTACACACACTGAATGTCACAATGTCAGATTATTCCAGTATAGTTTACATGATCAGACTGAACACGGTTAATTACACCCGTATCCTGGTGCTTTCTGAAACTCTCAGTGTGTGTGTCCCATGAGCGCGCACACACACACACACACACACACACAAACAGACACAAACAGACACACACATTCACACACACACACACACACACACACACACACACAAACAGACACAAACAGACACACACACACACACACACAAACAGACACAAACAGACACACACATTCACACACACACACACACACACACACACACACACACACACACACACAAACAGACACAAACAGACACACACATTCACACACTCACTCACACACACACACAAACAGACACAAACAGACACACACATTCACACACTCACACACACACACACAAACAGACACAAACACGACTGGACTTGTTCTTAAGTGTGATGTGAATCCCCTGAGCAGCAGCTATAATCATCACTGATAAACAGGAGCTCTGTGATGGAAACACTGCAGTGTTCAGTCAAGCAGAAGACATTATGATAAATATAATAATAATAATTACACACACTCATTCTCACACACACACACACACACACACACACACACACACACACACACACACACACACACACACACACACACACACACACACACACGAGGGAAGACTAATGTAAAAATACACATAAACATACAGCTGATGATTAAATCTGCTCCTCCTGAGAGTGACAAACAGAATATATATATATAGTTTATGGCCATGTTTCAGACTCTGGTATGTGTGAAATCTCCATATAAAACAATACTGTCTGTCATTTACCATAGAGAAAACTACAATTGGTCAAAACAACAAACGTGTTCGTCATTTGCTGTTTAACTCACTCTTATAAACCTTCTTATTTGGTGTAAAATGAAAATAAAGGTGAAATATGACAGCTTCTTTATTATATTACACAACAAAATATGCTTCGAGAATCTAGAATAAAAGTCACCAACAGGTCGCAAAACAAAACAAAAACTATGATCAAGTCAAACACGACTAGCTGCAATAATAATAATAATAACAATAAATAATAATAATATTAATAATAAATAATAATAGATACAAATGTTAACTGTAGAGTTGTCACTTCCCTTTTTCCACAGCTGTGTGTGTTTATATATGTCTATACTCTGGTGTTTAATCTCGAATTAAACGATTAATTTCGTTAATACTAATAATATGACTTTAAAACAATTACAACAATTAATATAGAATCAAATGGCTGTTCTGCTGATCTCCACACGTGACCCTTCCCCTCTGCTCATCACGGGCTGTATGGGCTATATGCACGCATTACTTCCGCGTTTTGTCTAAGGCCGCGGTCCAGCTTCCGGTCTGGGTGATTTTAAGCGGAGGTAAACAGTATTATGGCAGAGTCGTCAATATTTACTCACTGTTTGCGAGTAAATTATGGTCAACGATGTGCAAATGATTGTCCGGATGTGCTCTACAACACCGCAGAGCAAAGCTTGAGAAAGGTTTCAAGTTTTATGCATCTTCCTACCTGTGCAATTATGAAGGTAAGTTCAGCTAGCCTGAAGGCTAACTTTAGTGTTAATACTCTTACGATACGTCCATCGGCAGCTTTATCACGTAAGTAAAAATAATCATATGTGTACGTAATTCTGTCTCATAGTGTCAGGTAAAAACAGGGCAGGAATAAGATCTCAGTGAGAGCTCATTACTACCGATAGATCTATGAAGAAATCGGAGTCTCCTCACCAGCTGAGAGTAGGACAGCATACATGTGAAGTTCTGTCCCATTCATATTTTTACTGTTCTAAAGTGACCACCACTGTTCAGTTCGGATAATTACAGAAACACAGATGCTGTCTTAGCTTGTAAGCATGATTATTGAGCAAGATATATTAGGAATAAAGTAATACAATGCCGTTCCATCCACAACAGACAAATAGCACTGTGTCAATGCTGAGATTTATTGCTGAAACAGTGGAGATGACAGATGCAGTGTAACAGTGTAGATAGCATGCTTTCTATTTAGTCGATAACATTGTAATTAAATGGGAGGGTGACCCAAAACAATAAGGTGTCATTAGTTAATTTCACATCAACAATTTGTCTATTGCAATATTTATTAGTTTTTTTATGTTAATGAACAAATGCTTATTCATTGTGCTTGTTATCTCACAATGTAATAGCTAATGTTAACAAGCATGACTTTGGATTTTTATTCATTAGTAAATTAGTTTAACAATGCTAAATATTAAATATTAAATAGTTATTTAATAGTGAGCAAATACATTAACTAATGAAACCTTATTTTAAAGTGTGACTAAAAGGAGCTACTTTTAAATAATTTAAATTAATGATTTACTGTGTAGTTTAATCTGATGATATTGCTGCAGATGCCTTTCAAAAGAAGATATTTTGAAGAAAGCTGAAAACCTGTAACCATCGACTTCCATAGTAGGAAAAAGAACTACTATGTATATCAGTGGTTGCAAGTTTCCTGCTTTCTTCAAAGTATTTTTGTTTGTGTTA